TCTCCTCCCTTCCCACCCCCCATCCCCAGCTGCCAGAGGGAGACTGTTGTATTCCATCTCAGGCCGGGGACATCAGACCCCACAGACCATGGTCCACTGGGGAAGAGTCCTGTGGCCTCCTCGGATTCCCCCACCCTCTCACCTTACCCTTAGGGGTGACACTCAACCTGGCTTTAATCCAGCCTGGAGGAGGAGGTTTTGACTCTACTGTCATGAGCCTGTCAGCGGGCACCAATGTGTTCTCTGAAAACATGGGGCGAAGAGGACCCCTCCCCACCACAGGGCCTTGACCTCCAAAGGGTTTTACTCCACAACTTTGAGTAGCAAAAACAGGGGTAACCACCTCCCCACCTCCAGTGGCCTCCTGACGCTGAGAAGTCCTGTCTTGCCTGGGTTTCCGCAGTGCTCAGGAATAGTTTTGACCTTTGAGGCCCAGGAGAGACCCTAATCCTTGGCCCCATGATCTTTGGGCTTCTAGGGTGGGGTGTGAGGAGTGTGAGAGGATGGGGCACTGCAGGGGTGGTGGAGGAGAGGGGAGGGGACCTCTGCAGTGTCTAAACTCTGGCTTCCTCCCTGTGTCCGTGAGGGAGGACTGGCGCCTGCTAGGGACACGAGGCCCCTCCAGGTCCTTGAGGCCACCCCCCCTGGGATCCTCAGGCTTGTCACTAGGAATAAATAGCCTCGGTCTGGAAGGGGTGGGGGAGGGAGGGAGGCAGGAGGCTCTACTGTGCTGGTAGTGGAAACAAGAGACAACAAACCAACCCTGGAATAACCTTAGCGTCTAGAGTGAAGATTCAGGTGCCCACAGAGGCCTCCCCACACCCCAGGCTGGGTGCAGCGGGAGAGCTCTCACAGAGGAACTAACACCGTCCCAGGCTGGGACTCCTGAGAACCTTTCCCTCCCATCTCTGTGTCATGCCTGGGTTCCTGGGTCCCAAGTCACCCTCCAGGCCTGGTTTCCTTTCAAAATTAAATTATTGCTTGTTTATTATTGCTGTTGTTGCCTAAATGGTAAGAGCCATGAAGGCAGGGCTCCGTTTTGTTCCCCACAGCCTTCTCAGTACTTCAATATCCGGCACATAATAAACATCTGATGAATGAATGGATAGCAGACACTGCTTCAGTATGTATGCCCGTCTAACATCCTTGGTTTGTATCACAGGCACCTGTTATCTGGAGTCCAGGCAGTGAGCATCCAGCTCATGGATGGGGCCTTTCTCTGGGATTTTTTTTTTCTTTTTCTTTTTTTTGAGACAGAGGCTTGCTCTGTCACCCAGGCCGGAGTACAGTGGCGCAATCTCGGCTCACTACAACCTCCACCTCCTAGATTCAAGCGATTCTTCTGCCTCAGCCTCCCGAGTAGCTGGGACTGCAGGTGCGCACCATCACACCCAGCTAATTTTTTTTGTATTTTTAGTAGAGACGGGGTTTCACCATATTGGCCAGGATGGTCTGAAACTCCTGACCTCGTGATGTGATCTGCCTGCCCCAGCCTTCCAAAGTGCTGGGACCACAGGCGTGAGCCACCATGCCCGGCCTCTCTGGGATGTATCTGGCAGGTGTAAGGGACTCCCAGCCCAGGGGAGTGCAGTGAAGACTACTCAGCCTTAGTGGAGTGGGTACCAAGAGGAGGTCAGCTCTGGGGGACGGGAGCGCAAAGGTGGGGAGCCTTCAGAAAGCAAGGGGAAATGAGTGAGTACAGAAGGGGCCTGATAAAAGGCAGAGTATTGGAATCTCTGTTCTTGATGCATGGCTCTAATCTCTCCTAAATAGTCTTAATGAGAGCCAGTACTTACTGAGTTCTTTCTTTGCACCACTCCTAAACACTTTACATATATTAAAGTGATTATTCAATAACTTTATTAGATATATGTGCATATATATTTGTTTGTTTTTGAGACAGTGTGTTGCTCTGTCACCCAGGCTGGAGTGCAGCAGTGCAATCACAGCTCACTGTAACCTTAACCTCCTGGGCTCAAGTGATCCTCCTACCTCAGTCTCCCAAGTAGCTGGGACTACAGGCGTGGGCCACCACACCCAGCTAATTTATTTTAATTTAAATTTTTTGTAGAGGCAGGGGTCTTATTAAGTTGCCCAGGCTGGTCTTGAACTCCTGAGCTCAAACGATCCTCTTGCCTCAGCCCCACAAAGTGCTGGGATTACAGGCATGAGCCACTACTCCTGGCCTAAATATATATTTTCATCCTCATTTTAAAGATGAGAAAATGGAGGCACAGAGAGATTAAGTAACCTGGCAAGGGTGACACAGGTAATAATGGCAAAGCTAGGATACAAATCCTGATGGTTGGTTGGGCATGGTGGCTCTTGTCTGTAATCCCAGCACTTTGGGAGGCTGAGGCAGGAGGATTGCTTAAGCCCAACAGTTTAAGACCAGATCTGGGCCAGATGTGATGGCTCACACCTGTAATCCCAGGATTTTGGGAGGCCAAGGCAGGCGGATCACGAGGTCAGGAGATTGAGACCATCCTGGCTAACACGGTGAAACCCCGTCTCTCCTAAAAATACAACAAATTAGCCAGGCGTGGTAGCGGGCGCCTGTAGTCCCAGCTATTCAGGAGGCTGAGGCAGGAGGTTGGTGTGAACCTGGGAGGCGGAGCTTGCAGTGAGCCACTGCACTCCAGCCTGGGTGACAGAGTGAGACTCTATCTGAAAAAAAAAAAAGACCAGATCTGGCAACATAGTGAGACCCCCATCTCTATTAAAAAAAAAATCAAATCGACTGGGCGCGGTGGCTCACGCTTGTAATCCCAGCACTTTGGGAGGCTGAGGCAGGCGGATCACGAAGTCAAGAGTTTGAGACCAGCCTGGCCAACGTGGTGAAACCCTGCCTCTACTAAGAATACAAAATTAGCTGATCGTGGTGGTGGGCGCCTGTAATCCCAGCTACTTGGGAGGCTGAGGCAGGAGAATCGCTCGAACCCAGGAGGAGGAGGTTACAGTGAGCCAAGATCGCGCCACTGCACTCCAGCCTGGGCGACAGAGCAAGACTCTGTCTCGGAAAAAAAAAAAAAAATCAAATCTAGACAGTCAGAAGTGGTAGTGCCCTATGCCAAAAACGAGCTTCACTATTAGGCTCTAGTATCTGTAGTCATTCATTCTCTGTAAACCTCAGTCTTCTCACTGTGAAAAGTCTGCCTCACAGCATTGTTGTAAGGATTGGATGAGAGCACACAATAGGTTGTCAGTATGTGGGGACAGTCCCCCTTTTCACGGTCAAATGTTAAGGTTCAGCTACTTGGACTTGGAGTCTGGGGGCCAGAGAAAGTTAGCTCTCTGCTTGGGCCACTTGGGCTAGAGAAACCGGCCTAGGGGCAAGCCTCCCACAGTGAAGCTGTGTCTCCCTGTCTCAATTTCCACTCCCCAGTAGGCTCACATTTCCCTGCTCACTCTATTTTCGTTGGCCCAAGAGGACGTGCCCCAGGGAAGTCCAGGGATCAACCACATGGACTCCCTGTTCCTGTTCCCTGTCTGTCCTTCCCCCTCCCTGGGAAACAGGTGTGTCTGAACTGGGGCTGGAAGCAGAGCCTGAGAGCTGGATGACTGGCCTTGGGTGAGTAGGATCCTGTTGTCCCTCACTCACCCTAGAGGTCCCCACACACTCTTCTTTATCTCATGCTTAGGGCACCCCTGCTGTTTTTTCACTCTGCAAGGGTTTTCAAAAGGAGGCCCTGGGTGGCTACTGACAGGCCTCTCATGGTTTCCTCTGGGTGCTGAATCACTCTCTGATGCCTGTAACCACAGGCCCTCCTTCCCCCTAGTGAGAACACAGCCTTTCTTCTCTGGGTGTATTGCTCACTCTTTTTTTTTTTTTTTTTGAGACGGAGTCTGGCTCTGTTGCCCAGGCTGGAGTGCAGTGGCCGGATCTCAGCTCACTGCAAGCTCCGCCTCCTGGGTTTACGCCATTCTCCTGCCTCAGCCTCCCGAGTAGCTGGGACTACAGGCGCCCGCCACCTTGCCCGGCTAGTTTTTTGATGGTCTCAATCTCCTGACCTCGTGATCCGCCCGTCTCGGCCTCCCAAAGTGCTGGGATTACAGGCTTGAGCCACCGCGCCCGGCCGGATTACAGGCTTGAGCCACCGCGCCCGGCCATGCTCACTCTTACTTACTGGCTGCCTAGAGCCCTTGAAGGCCTCAAGGCTTTGTAGATAACCTCTTCCAAATTGTATTTTTAGTGGAGACGGGGTTTCACCATGTTGGCCAGGCTGGTCTCGAACTCCTGACCTCAAGTGATCTGCCCGCCTCAGCCTCCCAATATGCTGTGATTACAACCATGAGCCACTATGCCTGGCCGCCTAGAAACTTTCCTTGTGACCCCAAGCTGGACACTGAATTTGTGGGTGGAGAGGGTGAAATAAGTAAGTGACTTTCACAGAGCTTGGGAAGTGGGAAGGGCAGAGCAAGAATTAATGTAGTTAAATGTTGACTGTGTGAAGGGCACCATGCCATGTGGTACTCATTACCTCCTTCTGTCCTCACAAAAAACAGATGAGGTGGTTATTATTATTATCATCATCATCACCATTTGACAGAGTAAGACAAGCTCGGAGTTTGACATCATAGCCTCAAATCACAAGACAATAGGTGATAGATATAAAGCCAGGGCTGACACCAGGGTCCCCCTGTCTAATGTACAGAGCTAGCTTCTCTTGGGTATACTGGTCACCCAGTGCCTTCTTCAGGGGAAGAGGCAGGAGTGGCTGGGGCTGCCACCTAGTCACCCTGCCTGATAGCTCGTCTTCTTAACGGAAATGAGGCTGGAAAGGTGAGCATGGGCAGATCATAAAGGGCCTTGTCTTCCAATGATAAGTGATACATGAGATGGAATTTTGTTAATGCAGGAGGCCCTAAATGGGCAAGGCTCAAACTCATACTTTCAGCTCTTTCATACCCACTGGTCGACTGGATTGGCATTTCTGGGGACTAAGGAGAGGATTTCCCTAGAGCTCCTGAGCTAGAGGAGTTACCCCTGTCATGAGAAATGGGTGCAATTATACACCCTGTTTCATGTGGTGGAAAAGAAACCAAATGCCTCTGGAATGCTCTACTGTGCCCAATCCTCTCTCTAAACTTAAAAGCAGGTTTAGTAATAATAAAAATAACAATAGTAACTCCATTTTATTGTGAACTTGCTAAGGAATAAAAACAGCATTAAGCACTTTAAACATACTTCATTTCATCATCAAAACAGTCCTGTGGGTATAGTATTATTATTACCTCAAGATGGGGAGATGGAGGCTCAGTGAATCGAACTTCACCTTGACTGGGGTGGCATCAGAACACACCTCATGGGTCATTACCTTGTACTGCCTCTGATTCTCGTATCGTCAACCAGCCATTCCCTTGGGGATGTGAGGGACTCGGAACTTTATAGCTATTGTCATTGGGTGATTCCCTTCTATGCTCTTTACAGATATGACTCCTCAGTTCAACTGTGAGCTCTTGACAGCAATATGAGGCAAGAAGTGCATGTTATTATTATCCTCATTTTATGCTTGAGAAAAATGATGCTCATTAAAGTCAAGAAACCTGCCAAAAATCACACAACCTGTAAGTGAGTGGCAGAGCAGGTATGATTTTAAGGTCTCTTGTCTCTCTATAGAATGTTTTTTCCAGTACACTGTTGTAGAGGAGCAAAAAATGGACAGGTCAGATGAATGACGTTTATATAATGTCCTGAGTCACAGAAAAGAATAGTGGCATGGGGCCTCTGGGGGCCGGTGGCAACACAAATTATGGGAAGGTGAGGGGAAGAAATGTCCTGTTACGGAGATAAAATTTCTCAGGAAGTAATAGTTGTCAGCCCTCTTCTTGACACAGATACCTCACTAAAAATGTAGATTTCCTTTGTAGGTGTAAATTTATTTCTACAAAAGGAAGGACAGCTTTTCAGAGCAACTCCCGCGTCTGCAGTTTCTCAGCATAACCAGCTGAAAGAAATAAGCCAGAGAAATATATATTTTGGGGTGGCATATTCTGGCCTCCCACAGTCATATTTTGGAGTGGCGTGTCCTGAGCCACAACACTGTTTTTTTTTTGTTGTTGTTTTTTGAGATGAAGTCTCACTCTATTGCCCAGGCTGGAGTGTAATGGTGCAATCTCCGCTCACTGCAACCTTTGCCTCCCAGGTTCAAGTGATTCTCCTGCCTCAGCCTCCCGGGTAGCTAGGATTACAGGTGCACGCCACCACGCCCAGCTAATTTTTGTATACTTTTTTTAAGGAGTGACAGGGTTTCATCATGTTGGTCAGGCTGGTCTCGAACTCTTGACCTCGTGACCCGCCTGCCTCGGCCTCCCAAAGTGCTGGGATTACAGGCGTGAGCCACCGCCCCCGGCCAGCCCCAACACTGTTAAATCCGAAAATCCGCTTTAAACTGCTCTAGCTTTAAACATACCGCCTAAATACAGCAACCCGTGCCGAGCCGTAAGTGACCGCACATGCGCACACTCCGAGCCCAGCTCAGACGGAGGCCAGTGCCAGCCACGTGTTCCCAAGTGCCCACGCGGACCGAGCGCGAAGGCGAGATCTGGGTAGCGTGGAGAGGCGCTAGCGAATAAGAACTGGTTCTTGGAGAGTCACGAGACTAGATCTAGGAAACTACACTTCCCAGAAGCAGCCTGCGGTGACTGCCTGTGTTGGATGGCGTACATCCGGAAAACCGGCTCCGGATAGGTTGCTTAGAGGAAGTGGGCGGCTCTAAACCACGGGGGGCTAGGCCTGTTTCCGGTAGGAATTAGTGGATTCGGCGGCAGAGGCAGTGCGGATCCGGCGTTGTCCAGTGAGTTTTTCCAAGGCTGCATAGAGATGGCGGCGGCTTTTCGAAAGGCGGCTAAGTCCCGGCAGCGGGAACACCGAGAGCGAAGCCAGGTAGGACCACACAGGCCCCACGAGTGCTGGCCCTTGTCGCCATGTGTTACTCTCTCCCCAACCCTGTCGCCACTGTGGGATCCGGGTCCAAACTGTATATAAATGCACGCAAATGTATGCTAATGACGCTGGTGTGTCTGGGCCGGAGCTTCGTGGGAACGAGTGGAGAGGATTTGTCGTTTCCGTTCTAGGAAGAGCAGGGTTGCTCCCCTTTCCTTGGGGATATAAAACCTACTCTGGAAGATTTCAGTGTGGTGATTGAGTAAGATAATGCCTGTCAAGTGCCTGGCCTTTTCTGAGGAGTTGAGGTCAGAGCTCATATAGGCAAAACTGCCGGGCTGAAATTGGATCCCATGTCTAATGCTCAGCTCCGCCTGCTGCATATGGGGGTCCTGACCGAAGAGACTGTCCTTACTAATGTATTATCATCATCACACTGGGCTTGTGGTTCATGAAGATCTGCCACATGTGCTATTTGTTTATGTCTTACCCCTTAATGTTGGCCTTTTCCATTCCCATTATACAGATGAGGAAACTGAGGTCCAGAGTGATGACTTGTCCAGTTACAAACACCAGATTCAGGCAGAGTAAACAGTTCTAGGATTTCTATGGTGGGTGCGTCTGTGTAGGGAGGTTGAGTAGAAATAAGCTTATGTGCAGAATCAATTGAAACACTGTCAGGAATCGCGTGCTTAATATCTGATTCAGAAAGGCCCTTAGCATACGTGTGTGCTCCCTCTTAATTTTACAGATGAGGAAGAGAGGGGAAAGAGTTGTGCAGCTGACTGATGGGATAGAACTAAGGCCTCTTAACTACAGTTCAGTCTTCCTGCTTAATAGCATATATCAAACTTTTTTTTTTTTTGAGATGGGGTCTCGCTCTGTTGCCCCGGTTGGAGTGCAGTGGTACAATCTCGCCTCACTACAACCTCCGCCTCCCGGGTTCAAGCGATTCTCCTGTCTCAGCCTCCCGAGTAGCTGGGACTGTAGGTACGCACTACCATGCCCTGCTAATTTTTGTATTTTTAGTAGAGATGGGGTTTTGTCAGGTTGTCCAGGCTAGTCTCGAACTCCTGACCTCAGGTGATCCACACACCTTGGCCTCCCAAACTGCTGAGATTACAGGCATGAGTCCCTGCACCTGGCCAAAACTATCACCTTTTGAGCACTTACTATATGCTAGGCACAGCCCTGCATTTTACAAATGAGGAATCTGGTGCTTAAAGATTAAGATTGAATAGTATATCCAAAGTCACAGTTGTAAGTAGTGGAACTGGATTAGCAGAGAAAACAGAGGGCTTTCAAAGCTGGCTGTGGACATGGCATGGCCATGGCTGAGTAGGAACGGAAGGCCTATGTGGAAGAGGTGAGAAAAAGGCCATCCTGAAAATGTGGGTAAATCATTGACACAAATGTTCCATATTTGAATCGTTTGGACTTTATCCTGTAGATCCTTCAGTAGGGCAGTGGGGGAGCTACTGAAGATATTTTATATGAAAGGTGTATGTGTTATTACGTAAACTGTTTTAGATCCAATACCAGGTTTCCTTCTGTAATGCGGGTGTACATTCGGGTGAACATGAGAGATTTCAAGAGTTCTGCCTCACCTCATGTTGTTGCTCTTTTGACCCTTTAGCTTACTTTCTCTACTCTGTCAACCTCCCTTTGTCTGCTGTAATTAAAGTTAAAATTATTAGGGGAGGTTTGGTGTTATTTTACTTATTTTTTTGAGATAGTGTCTCCCTCTGTTGCCAAGGCTGGAGTGCAGTGGGGCAATCACGACTCACTTCAGGCTCGACCCACTCACTCAAGCCATTCTTTTGCCTCAGCTTCCTGAGTAGCAGGGACCACAGACGTGTACTGTGACACCCAGCTAATTTTATTTTATTTTTTTAATTTGTGGAGATGAGGTCTCACTGTGTTGCCCAGGTTGGTCTCGAACTTCTGGGCTCAAGTGATCTGCTCATCTCAGCCTCCCAAAGTGCTGGGATTGCACATGTGAGCTTGGCCTTAAATAGCTATTTATTGCATCACTTGAAGGATAAAAGATGAGAAAGATGACTGTTAAAAATCCTACCCAAATTAGGCCGGGCGCAGTGGCTCACGCCTGTAACTGCAGCACTTTGGAAGGCCAAGGTCAGGAGATGGAGACCATCCTGACCAACATGGTGAAACCCTGTCTCTACTAAAATACAAAAATTAGTGGGGCATGGTGGTGCACACCTGTATTCCCAGCTACTCGGGAGGCTGAGGCAGGAGAATTGCTTGAAGCCAGGAGGCGGAGGTTGCAGTAAGCCAAGATCGCACCATTGCACTCCAGCCAGGCGACAGCAAGACTCTGTCTCAAAAAAAAAAATCTTACCCAAATTATTATTATACAAATTTTTTTTGTTTGTTTTTTTTGAGACGGAGTCTCGCCCTGTTGCTCAGGCTGGAGTGCAGTGGTGAGATCTTGGCCCACTGCAACCTCCGCCTCCCGTGTTCAAGCAATTCTCCCGCCTCAGCCTCCCGAATAGCTGGGATTATAGGCACTCGCCATCATGCCCAGCTAATTGTTGTATTTTTGTGGAGACGGAGTTTCACCAGGTTAGCCAGGCTTGTCTTGAACTCCTGACCTCAGGTGCCCCACTCACCTTGGCCTCCCAAAGTGCTGGGATTACAGCATGAGCCACTGCACCCAGCCTATTATACAAGTTTGCAACACTAGAGAAGTGTGTGCATTTCCCAAAATGTTAACAGTATTCGCAACAGAAGAGGACTCAGTCTACTGTGATGGCCCCAGGGAGAATGGGTTCTAGTTTTGGCTCTGCTGCTTATTAGTTCTGTGTTCTTGAGCATATCATTCTCTAAACGTCATTCTCTTTATGGAAAACTGGGGTAGCAATAGTGCCTGTTTCACCTTCTTTACAAGGTTGTTGTGGGGATTAAATGAAATTGTGTAACGAGCATAGCACATTGCAAGACCCTGACATATACTAAGTGCTCAACAAATAGTAGTATGTAGAAAGATCATACCAAGATTTAGTCCTTATACCTTCCGTGCTCTCCAAGCCTACGCCAGAGAAAGGACTTTCTGTCATACTTTTGTCTCATACCTAGTACCACAAGTATAATAATGATAGTAAACTCATGCTGGATAGCTGCAATGTGTCAAGCCATGTGCAGGCATTACCACTTACACGAGCTCCTTGAATCCTCAGGATAACACGGAGAAGCAGGTACTATTTTCATGTTACAGTCAGGAAATAGCCGTTCAGAGAAGTTAAGTGACATGCCCAAGGTCACAGATTGTTCAGAGGTAAAACTTGGATTTGAACCCACATCTCCAGACTCTAAATTTAGCGCCCTTACCACAGTTGCCTCCCTGTTACTATGTTTTCCCTTTGTAGTATTTTATAAACCCTTGGATTAAGTTGGTAGTAATTTTAGTACAACTGGCAACTGCTTGCTTAGTGCCGAGTCATTGTTGCCTCTCTCTGTCCTTAATAGGCCAAGAAACCTACTACAGCAGTGCTTGTGACCTGTCTGGTGCTGGCAGGGTCCCTCTCATCCTTGGGCAGAGCCCAGTTGTGGGGAGGGGAGGGGACAGGGTCATGGGTTAGCTCCAAGGACTGGATTTACTGAGCGCTTCAGAGACTCCTGTGCCTGTTAGGTGTCATGTTGATTTGGATATGTGTTCGCGGAGGAAACTAAACAATGTTGTTTTTTCTTTTGTCTTCTAGCCTGGCTTTCGAAAACATCTGGGCTTGCTGGAGAAAAAGAAAGATTATAAACTTCGTGCAGAGTGAGTTCAGTCTTTCTGGTAGAGGCGCTGCCAAGAAGCTTACAACCTCCTTGCACTGCAGCTGAATTGCCTGAGTGTCCAACAGGGGATAATTTCCTGCCATTGATAAAATGGCCAAAGCTCTGGCAGCCTGTCAGATAATTTTTTCTGTGACCCTAAATTTCTCTCTTTGTTTAGGCAGATCATTATTTATTTAACTGTAGTTGCATTGTGAATTATTTGTATTATGTTGTTCCAGATCATTTTCTCATAGTGGCTTTGATTTGGCTCTGCCTTGGTGTTTGAGCCCAAAGCTGAATCTTTTTTCTCTTTGTTTTCTTGAAGTGCAAGATATAATCTGAAATTCCATTTGTTGAGTCTCTTACATACCATGTGTGTGGTGTGGAATGAAGAGATGTGAAAGATGGATTCATGAGACCACGCGTGGGTGATAATGAACTCTGAAAGCATTTTATAAAACAATTATCCCCATTCTTCTTCTCTATTAGCACTTTATTTGCAAAATACTTCTTAATTATTTGTTAGCCATACATGTCAGCTGAGGTCCTTCTTTTTTTTTTTTTTTTTTGAGATAGAGTCTTGCTCTGTTGCCCAGGCTGGAGTGCAGTGGCCGGATCTCAGCTCACTGCAAGCTCTGCCTCTCGGGTTTACGCCATTTGCCTCAGCCTCCCTAGTAGCTGGGACTACAGGTGCCCGCCACCACGCCTGGCTAAGTTTTTGTATTTTTAGTAGAGACGGGGTTTCACTGTGTTAGCCAGGATGGTTTTGATCTCCTGACCTCGTGATCCACCCGTCTCGGCCTCCCAAAGTGCTGGGATTACAGGCTTGAGCCACCGTGCCTGGCCAGCTGAGGTCCTTCTTATGCCCCTGGTCTAGATGGTGGTGATGGATTAAATGGGTTTCTGTAGGTCCCAGAGATTTTAAGCCTAATGATAATTAAGTGTTGTTATTGGGCCAGGCAGTGTTCTAGGATATTTTACCATTTTTACACTGATTCTTCCCTCCCAACAACCTTCTGGGATAGGTTACTATTATCGTATTCATTTTACAAGTGAAATTGGGATGCAGAATGGTTTGATAACTTATCCAAGGTTACTTAGCCAGAAGTTGTCAAGTCCAGATTTGAACGCATGCTGTCTGGCTGCAGAGTCCATGATTCTAGTCATTGTGCTATACTGTACTGTGTAGTTTCTGAGTTATATGTGATCATCTGGTGCCCAAGCTTGCACCATATCCTGTCTAAGGACTTTTAATTTGTACTTTGTTTGGTGTTTCCCTGTAATGATATAAATGGCACTGAAACATATGTGGGCTGGGGACAGTTAATTTCAGATTCCACTGGAGTAGGAACTGTTGATTAGATTGTGGACCCTGCGAAGCGTGAGCTCAGCTCAGTGACAGTGGAGTGTCCATCAGATCCAGTCACTGCTTTGGCTTTTTTGAGTTTCGCTCTGTGTGGCCTTTTAGATGCTTGTAAAGTTTGCTTATTGTGGGTTTTGGTTTTTAAAAATTGTCATTTTGTTTTTTGCTATGAACCTCATTTAACCTGTCTTTTAGTGACTACCGTAAAAAACAGGAATACCTCAGAGCTCTCCGTAAGAAGGCTCTTGAAAAAAATCCAGATGAATTCTACTACAAAATGACTCGGGTTAAACTCCAGGTGGGTGCCCAGTGGCTTGGTTGGTGTTTTGAGCTCCCCACATTGGAAAATAAGGGCAGAGAGGAGATGGAGAGGAAGGATCCTTGGCCTTAATTTAACCCTTCTCTGGTTACTCCAGGTGCTCTTGGTCAGTGTCCAAGGCAAACCTTCTACTTCCAGAGGAGTGTGCATTTCTGCCTTTGATTCTGGGTTATCTTACACCTGGAGCTGTTCTAGGATGGATGACTGGAGGTGCCACACTGAACGTGTGCCTCAGGGGCCTGTGTCTAGGATTGCTGTTAGCATACAGCATTTCGTTGTCTTTGTTTTTTGTTTTGTTTTGTTTTGTTTTGTTTTGTTTTGAGATGGAGTCTCTCTGTCGCCCAGGCTGGAGTGCAGTGGTGTGATCTCGGCTCCCTGCAACCTCTGCCTCCTGGGTTCAAGTGATTCTCGTGCCTCAGCCTCCCAAGTAGCTGGAACTACAGGCACACACTACTGTGCCCAGCTAATTTTTTGTATTTTTAGTAGAGAAAGGGTTTCACCATGTTGGTCAGGCTGATCTTGAACTCCTGACCTCAAGTGATCTGCCCATCTTGACCTCTCAAAGTGCTGGGATTACAGGTGTGAGTGACCACACTTGGCCTATGGTTGTCTTTGTTCTAGATTGATGGCACATGCACTGTGCCAACAACTTATTAATGATTTTTAATGTAATAGGGAATATATCTTTTAAATTTGGATTTTAGGATGGAGTACATATTATTAAGGAGACTAAGGAAGAAGTAACCCCAGAACAACTAAAGCTGATGAGAACTCAGGACGTCAAATATATAGAAATGAAGAGGGTTGCAGAAGCTAAGGTAATTCATTCTTTGTTCTGATTCGTTTTATTGGTTAAGAAAGGAAACTTAAATATATCAATCTCAAGGTATTTGTTAATTTCTTCTGGCATTTACAATCTCACTTGATTGTAATAATGATTTAGAAGTATAGTTAGCATGGTAGAGTGGAAAGAGTTCAGGTTTGGAAATGAGACAGACCTAGGTTTGAGTTCTGGCACTGCCAATTACTAGCCTCATGACAATGGGCAAATTCAACTCCCTGAGGCTCTTCCCTCATTTCTGTCTCAGGGGACTGTTACAAGGATTTTTTTTTTTTTTTTTTTT